AGCCCAACTTTGCTGTCACATTGCTTCTGCAGGTAAGATCATGATCCACAATCACTTTACTGGAGCAAATTATGTTTTAGTAAAGTATGCTAACTTTGACATGTATATAGGGATTTGATTCTGACTTTTAGAGCTCTTCATGGACACGCACCAGCTTACGTCACTGAACTTCTACAGCACTATGTCCCTAGCAGGTCCTCGAGGTCATGTGATCAAGGCCTACTTGTCATACAGCATACAAGGCTGGGAACTAAGGGACACAGATCTTTTGCCACTGTGGCCCCCAGACTGTGGAACTCTCTCCCACTGAGGTTAAGATCTGTGGGCTCAGTAGTCTCTTTCAAGAAACAACTAAAAACACATCTTTTTAGAATTGCATTTCGTTTTGTCTTTTTTTGTTTTATACCTTGTTATCTCTTTTTGAAGCACTTTGTGATCTTTTGTCTAGAAAGATGTATATAAAAAATATGTTACTTACTTTACTTACTTATGTTATCCCCACGAAACACTGGCAGTCTTAAATGGCATAAGCTGTAAGGAACTTGATAGATGTATTAATATTATTAGGAGAAAATCTTGGATCATTTTCTGATGCATCTTTATTTTGCAGGAAACGGGCAGAACAGGTACATATAGATAAATGCTTATATTGTTTTTTGGGACACACAGAATGCCTTTTCAATATAATATAATAATAATAATAATAATATAATAATAATAATATCAATTAACCCTTGTTCAAGTATGCTGAGTGTCAGCTGAGGTTAGCACACTCATATACTGATAGTGTGAACTAACTTGCACCGGGAAACAAACCTTAACAACCTGTAAACCAACAACTCTTCTCTCGGTGTTTCACTTCAACTCCATCTTTCTAAATATGACGATGAAGCTAATGCTGCTGCTCCTTAGCTGTCACATTGCTTCTGCAGGTAAACATCCCAGCTACAATACATACATGCTGGGACTCACTCTGAACTTGTTACATTCGAGTTTGTGTGTCAGGTTCTTTGTGTTACAGTCAAAGAATTTGGACATTGTATTGGACATGGCAGGTATTGGCAAGCAGGCAAGTGAAGCACTTCATGCTTCAGTGGGTGAAAGCAGGAACAGATGCAACAATAGATAAGTGTTTAAACTAAGTACTGCCAACCCTATTTTTTCACATGTTAGAACGACAATAGTTAACATAAAAGATAAAGAAAAGATACCTTATTTTTATTGCTTCTTTTCTGCCATGGTTTAAGTGCAAGTAAGAAATGCCTTAAAACTTTCAAGCTCTAACAGAAATATAATCTGACCTCGAGCAGTGGTTTTACTTTTGCTTTATTTTATTGGGAGAGCCAAAACATTTTAGCTCTGATTTTCTGAAATAATTAGGATTAAAAAATTGGATAACACAAATGCATGTTTTATCAGCCAGTGATTAACAATTGAATTTGATTTGCCCTACAACTCTTCTGCACTGTCCATAAGTGATGTAGTAGAAAAGGGCTGGTATATAGTATAAAAAACATATATTTTAAACATGGTTTATTTACACTGCTAGACTCCTACACTCCCACAAGATTTAGGCAGAATGCTTTTAATACACGTGAAATAGATTCCTGATACATATTTCTGTTAAACAGATGATTCAGGAGAATCGGGCGGTCACCAGGGGTGGCTCTTTAAGTAAGGAAAAAGGAAACAAAGATGAACCTGGAATTTCCCCTTAACAGCCCTGGCATCTGGTTATCATGTCCATCAGCATTAAAGGGAAAAGCAAGAAAAAATACAAAGTAACTCTTGGCTATGATAATTCCTCATCTCTGCAGCTGCCACAGAACACCAAAGTACAAATATGCACACAAATATGTAATTCATGCTAACAGGAGGATGAAAAAATATTATCATGCTGTTACATTATTAATTTTTATAAAATTGATATTAAAAGAAAAGAAATAAAGAAAAAGAAATATGCAAACTCATTGCCTCTAAAAAAAAACTCATTATGAGTATATAAATTTGGAACTATAGGAACTAAGGAACTACTTTTAGTAGAACTTTATTTTTAGTAGAATATTTATTCTACGTTTGTCATGTTCCTGGGTATGTTGACCCAGCGTTTTAGGTTTAGTTTATTTGGATGTTGTTCATGTTTAAGTTCATTAGATTAGCGAAGTTCATTTGCTTATTAGACTCCTTGTGTTTTCTTCCCCTGTATTTAAGTTTCCCTTCCCCTTTGTGTTTTATGCTGCATGTCTTATGTTATCAAGTTTGTTTTGTCATGTCTGCGTCTCATGTTTCCTGTTTTATTTTGAAGGAGTCGTGTGTTCTTTGCTCATTGTATTTAGTTTCACTTCCCCTGTCCTGTCATTACTCTCATGTCAGTCAGCTGTTCCCCCATGTGTTCCCACGTCCTCTAATCACCTCCTGTGTATTTAAGTCCTCTGTTTTCAGTAGTGATGGCCAAATGACGCTTTCTGAAGCACTGAAGCTTGCATTGAAAAACGGTTCATTACTCGAAGCTTTTCAACACAGTCCTCTCTGGTGACATCTGGTGGCCAAAAATATGAAGAGCAGCTTGAATCCACAAAATAAAACCAACCGCTTCATTATGACTGCCCACTCTACAGAGTGTAATTCTGTCTGATATTGGGCCTCCGTTGTGTTGCTTTGAACATGTATTTTGGGGGGCGGTTAAAAAAAATTTGGTTTATTTGTTTAATAAATAATCTTGACCGGTAAACTCTCCTTGTTCAAACATGCACCATGGTGTGGTCTTTTTTTGCTTGTGACTTCTTGATGTTGGTAAATACAATAATTGAAAAATACCACATTACATATAATATACATATAATAATGTACAACACGTTATGGAGTATGCTTCTGCTGTGAGGTCCTGCCACCATGCACTTGTGCAAGTGCTAGACGGGCATATTTATAAATAATATTATATTAGGGAAATTTTCCTAGACATATTTTTGAGCTGGGGGTAGAATTGATTGTGAAATGGAAAGGGAAAATGCTTATGAACTTGCAAATTAAAATCATGATGCATTTAAAGTAGCCCTTTTTCATTTTTATTTAAGAAGAGAATTTGTTTTAGTGTGCGATGGCCAAACCTGTTCCTTTTCGTGGAGATCATTTCTCCTGCATTAAGGAAAATCCCTTCACATGGCACAGAAGAGGCTGGAGTGCAGAGAAACTGGTAGAGATGCAGTTATACAGTCTACCTGGGCCCCACAAACTAAAGAGAATAAATAGATTAAATTGCTGCACATTTGGCAGACTAACATTTTCAGATTAATTAAACAATGAAATATATATTTTTATAACATTACATGTAAAGAGTCAAGTGGAAGTTTTTCCAAAGTTATTTAATGATATTTATATTATGGAAGCAGATTTTTTGACATTTTAAGTTTTTTCCCATTATAAGATAAAATAAACACGCACAAAACAAAAGCAAACGGCCAGAACACAAAGCTGGAAAACCCACCCGACTGACCAAAATCAACTGTTACGGATTCAAATATTGGGGATGGATACAAGAGGGAAAACCACAATAACAACACTGGTCCGGCCGGGTTGAGTCAAACGATGATTTTAATGATCACACGCGTGGGAGATGGACACCGTACGCAGACAGCATCAGATCTCAAAATGGTGGAGCATTGATCAAACTCTTATAGCCTCTAGTGGCCCCCACCTTATCATAAAAGCCTAAACATTCACATGCTTTCTCTCACACGGCGGCCTAAGCTACGACCTTGGCTCCCTGTTTATCTGCTCCTGCTGAGATGGGGCAGAAAACTCCAGTATGTTCTGTTGTCTTCTAATCAGACAAATAAGGCGATGACTTTCTGCGAACAGTATTTCTTATAACTCAGCAGTATAATGCATCATAAAACAATATCATTCATTCACAATAAATCAGCAGTCTAATATAATGCAAATCAGTTTAACAAATGCAATAGTTACCACCTTCTTCTAATAGTTGGGTTGCGGTCACGTGGTTCTGATGACGTGCGGAGGCAGCGCGATTTTTGAGTGGAGGGCGGAAGTAAACATGGAGGACACTGTGGAGAGTCAGGAGAGCAGCTATTGTGCAACTTTAGACCCCGTTTCTCGGAGAGGATATAAACAGATAGTTAAAAAATATATCGGACGTGATCCGTATTCTTTGAAAATGTCCGAATACACCACAGAAGTAAAGGATTTGCCTACTATCGAGGCTGTGGATATCACCAACTACTTGGTCCTCCAGACTTCTTACTACACTAGGCAGCAAATGAAAGCTTTCAAGAGCCGTAACAGAGGCGTACAATTTTTTTGTCAGCGGGTGGGTCCACAACCTTGGAACAAAGCGTCTCCGTGATGGATACAGTTTGGTGTTTGCAAGGGTGAGTGTTTGTTCTTATATTGCTTTATCTTAAACACGCTAACAGTTAGCGGTAGCGGCTTTAACGTCAACAAACATGCCACATCCTTAGGACTTCGTTAGAGTTGTTTGTTTCAAGGTAAACCATTCTCAGCGGTCTAACGAGACACCTCTGAAGACTTGGGTAATTGCAAAGGAGGATGGAGAAGTGATTGCAGCTCATTGCAATTTGTATGGCAGGGTTAGTAGCCTAATTAAGTAGGATGTTATTGCAATGAGAACACACACACACACACACACACACACACACACACACACACACATATACGCATAGGGCACTGCTAGCATTTTGCAGGTGTACTTCAGTAGTAGTGGGGAGAGAGTGTTTTCTTTTAGCTAAGAATTCATCAGCTAAGAATTTGTGTGATTGCCTTAGATCCCTCATGACACTCAGATGCATTTTTCAGATAGAGGGTAGAACTATTCAGTCATGTCATCACCTAGATAATGATTTCTCTATAGGCTGTGAGAAAGAGTTAATGAATAAACATGTTACTTCAAATAAAGTGCCATTGCACATTAGTATTAGTAAGCTATGCATCATCAAAATGTACTGTAAATATTGCATTTCATGTTAAAAAGATTATGTGCTCTATTTCCAGACTATCAGAATCATGCTCGCACGTTGGAGCTGTTCTTTTTGCAGTTGAAGCTGGGGTGAAAATGAGAGCGACATGCACATCAGAGCAGTGCAAGTGGCTGATGCCATCTCATGTTAAAAAGGTAAGCCAAAAAGCAAAATGTAGGATAAAGAATGTTATATTGGGACTTCATGTGACAGTAGGATAAAATATCTTCCCCTATACTGCTACCTTGTCGTGGTGGGGAAGCTTGAGTGCCTCAATGACCCTGTAGGCTATACCGTCGGGGGCTTCAAGCTCCTGGTAGATCTAATCAAGCCGGGCAGGTTGCAGGTGAGGGGTCAGACAAAGGCAGTACTTTAATAAATGAAGAGTTCTATTCCAAACGCTATAACAGCATTTAAAAGCCATTTCTTTTTCATGACTAACATAACATGACTGCAGAACCGTATACTGTATATCACACCCTTCTCATGCATGCCTCAACACCCTAGCACTTGTTTTCTGCGCACACACACACCTGACTGCAGCACTTTATATATTCACATTTCTCATGCATTCCTCAATACTCACAACTCCTCACACCACATTTTCATCAACATGGAACTGCTTACTTTCCACTCCTTTTATACCCAGCACATGGCACCTCCATCCCCACCCAACATACACACCACACTTCACTGCCAACCAACCACTATACCCAGCCTAAAACACACATACTCACTCCACTGCCATCACTGTTCAATTTCGAATATTTTTGGAAACGATATATAGCGTTTTGGAAAAGAGCTTTTTAATTTTAATGATCTTCTTTGGGCTTAATTTTTCCAGATTCCTGCTTGCCCAGTAACTCTGATTGACTTCTCTTCAGCAAAGTCAAAAAAACGAAAGCTTGAGTGTTCCATTGATGGCTGCACAAGTACACAAAAGGTTGGGAAATCACTTCCATGCCCAAGAGTGCAGAGAGATTCAGAGACATACTGTAGGTTTTTTGAGAGTTTAAGCAAAAACTGTCCAAGGAGTGCAGCACTGATGTCTAGGGAACCTTACCACAAAGAATTTGTCCCCCAGTCTAGCATGCTTCCTAAAACTGTGCCTGAGTACAGAACACCAGAGACACTGCAGCTCCCCCCCAAAGACCTTGAAGAGCTATGCCTGGACTTCCAGCTTGAAGAGCTCACCCTGTCCCAAGTCCAGGCTGTAGAGAGGGCGACTCGAAGTCAGAGTGCAAGCAGTATTTGGTTTAGGCAAAGAGCTGGACGCGTAACTGCCTCTAAGCTGAAACAAGTTCTTAAGACCAACCCCCAGCAACCATCAAAGAGCTTGATCAAGGCCATATGCTATCCAGAGGCATATAGGTTCACCACAGCTGCTACAAGGTATTTAGGGTTTGATGTAGGGTAAGGCAGAGTTAAGATTTGGGGTATGAAACTGTCCATAACTGTAACTAAAAAAGTGTTATGAAGATGGAGGTTAGTTATAGGCTTATACGGCTAGGGTTATACAGGGTAAGAACTAAGTATAGTTTAGGGTAATGGCATATTGTATAATACATCACTTTACTGTTTTACACATCCAATACTAAGTAATAATTTCCTTTTCATGTTTGGCATGTGTACTGTTTATAGTTATGGATGCAAACATGAAGCACAAGCCAGAGGAGCATATGAGAAGCTTATGAGCCAGGAGCATGCAGGCTTCTCATGTATGGACAGCGGTCTCTGGCTGAACCCCAAGTGGCCATACATGGGGTCCTCCCCTGATGGGATAGTCACTTGTGACTGTCATGGAACTGGCATCTGCGAGATTAAGGTATTGACTCTGTTGTAGTCAAGGCCATAGGTGTGACATCTTTCCATAAGAATCAGTGAACTGAGTAAAAATGCAGGAAATACCTTTTCTAATTTCTAATCTATTGTTCAATTAAGATAAGATGAGGCTTTATTGTCTGTGTCAAATAGACATTTGTTTTGGGCAATGAGAGATTATGATAACACAGACCACACCCATCATCTTTGCTTCTTCACTGTTTCATCAGATAAATCTTGATTGTTGTTCTCATCACTGTGATTTTAGTGCCCACACTCTCAGAAAGATGCGGTCAACCTGCGCATGCGTGCTGGGGAGAAGGGCTTCTGCCTCATCAGTGACGGGGATAATGTCACACTGGACCCAACTCATGACTACTATTACCAAATTCAGGCACAGCTTCACATTGCAAATGCAGAGTACTGTGACTTTGTTGTGTGGAACCGCAATGACATATTTGTTGAAAGGATTTTGCCTGACCTTGAGTTTTGGGATGATGCGATTCCTAAAGTTGAGTGTTTTTTTAGAAACAGTATACTCCCAGAAATACTGGGACAGCAAGTTACAAACATACATGTGTAATGTGATAAAAGGACGACAACATAATGACATTTTGAATATTGTTATGACCTGATGGTAGTCATTATGAGTTCTGGCTATTGTATTTGCTCTGACGTAGCATTAGAGCACAAATTGTCATTTAATTTTATTGTACATTTAATTGTGTCATTTAAGTGTTGTGTAACACTACACAATGATTAAATGCTATTGAGGCAGCATAATAATACATTGGTGGTTTATTTACAAGATTAGACTTTTAAACAAATAAACAAATAGATTGCAATCCATCTCACAGTATAATACTGTACAAACTGCCAGCACAATATGACAGTTGGAGAAAAATATTTCATTTGAAAACATTTACAGACTAATCAGGAGTCAGGACTTAGGTACTACTATTACTCTACCCTGTTCTACTTATCACCAGAGCCAAGCAGCAGATACTGGACACTACTCTTCCTCTCCACCCCCTTCTGTGAGCCGTGACAGTGACAAGACATTTAATTTTTTTTAACTGATTGATTACCACCCACCCCCCTTACTCCAGTGGGACAACAGACTCGGAGAGATTTGATAAGGCACAACAAATTACCCCAATCTTGTCGATCAATGCATGTGTCTCACCTGGCTTTGTGAACATGTTCTCTATTGGCATAGCCCTGCTCTGCAGAATTTGATATTTCCTCCTGACTAAACCTATGACTCGCTCAACATGGATACGCAAATTGGCTATTTTCCTTGTCTCTGCCACTTCATAGGCTGACAGCTGTTTTCTCCCTTTAGTGAATGCCGGTGTCTGTAGTGAAGCACAGTAAAACCCCACATTATCGCCAATATTGAACCCACGATCTGCAAGGACAATGTCTCCAGGTAACAAGTTCTTTAGGAGGCCACTCTCTATTGTGATCTGCTTATCGCTAACTCTCCCTCCCCAGGCAGAAGATATGTAAGTGACGTAGCCTTGGGGGGCAACACCAATCAAAAATTTTACAGTGTGATGGTGCTTGTAGTTGGACCAAGTTTGAGCTTGTGCAAGAAGATTAGATGGTCTCTCAATAAAGACTTCAAAGCAATCAACAATCACAGCCACTTTACATCCAAATGCCTGTCTGAAACTCAGTGGCATCGTAGCTTGAAGAACATGTCGCTCTGGCCACTCAATTAGGAACTCTAACCTTTTATGAAGTATGTCAATTACTTTATGCCAAACTCTAGAAGCAGTGGACAGAGAAATATTGAACCTGAAAGCTAAATCTTTCAGGGGCAGATTTAGTCTCAGCCTCAGCAAAACTAGTATGAATTGTTCAAATTTGGACAACAAAGACATAGGTCCCGAGGTGATATAGGGCTCGCACAGTTCAAAAATCTGAATTAAAACTAAGAAGTTGGGGAGCCCTGTGTAGAACTTTGTCTTGTCTTCATTTTTTTCAAAAGCCTCCTGGCTGAACTGTGTGTCCAGAGCCTTGCTCCGAAGATCAACCAGCTCTGCTGTGTTCTGTCTCAAAACATCCTCCATCTTCTCGATGTCATCCATCGTCAGCTCTGTCTGGCATCCAGCATCCGCACAGCCTGCAATATAACAGTGGGGGAGCATAATCAGCATAATAGAGGCAACCTCAATTTTTACTCATTTTCACTGTAGGAGTTTTTTAGTGGGCTATTAGAATCTGGTGTAATGTGTTTAATTCACTATGTTAATTTAATGTAATTATTTTTTTTAATCAACAAAAAAACATGTTGCGTCTAAACAAAAAATATATTTATGTTTCTCACCACAGAAACCTTACATTACGGATATCTTTACTTATCTGTGAAAGGAGACTGTCTGGAATCTGGCAATATAAGAACCATAGCAGTGTACAAAAACCTGTGGTGTGTGCCTGACAGTAATAAGTGCCACTTTTTCTTTTTTTCTGAATAAAATGGTATGGATTTACTCTGTGATTAAAAAATCACAAACATGTAATATGTAACTTGGACCATAATCATTACAGATAATGGCATCTTTTTCTCTTTGACATGATTCTTGTTTGTTTTACATCTCAGCACAATATCTTACCTGGATAAGTGAATGTCTCATTCACACTGAAGTCTTCTGGTTGTGGATTCTCAGCTGGAAGCTGCAGTTCGGGGTTCTCCACTGTCACTAGGCTCAAATCCGGGCTCTCAGCCGTCTGTTGCATATCCAAAATCGCCTCTGCACATCGATGCTGTTCTGCCTTAAGCTTCATTCTTTTCTCTCGTTTGAGAACTGATTCCGATCTGGGTTTTCGTTCGTAGCCGAGATTGACCGTCGGAGCCCAGTCCTCCGACTCTTCGTCATCCAAAGCACTTGGGCAGCCTATAGTCCCAATCAAGTCAATATTAGACTACTAACTTAAAAGCACTAAGTAAACGAGAATTTAACGACAACCTAATGCTAATAAGTTCGTTTGCAAACATAACATTACCTCTGACGAAGTGGTCGCTGCAGACACGGGCATTGGCAGACTCTGCTCCTCCCAACTGTAAACGTAAATTTAAAATCCATTTTTTCCTACGTTTTTCGGTTAGAATTTTCCATTTTTCTCCTCTTCGTTGGGCTATTTTTGGTACCCTAAAATACCGTTTATCAGTTTCTCTGGTCGACCTACTGGAGCATCCGTAAACACAACAGGACATAGGCATTTTGCGTACTGTCTGTCTGTGATTTTGCGCTTATCTTTTTCACTTCCGACCGCCAGTCAAATTTCGCGCTTTACGTCGACGTCACGTCTACGTCAAATGAAACCTAGCTATTCAGGAGAATAATGCAAACTAAAACTACATAATAATTCACAATCTTTAATTAGGGGTATAACATGGCATAAAATAATATTATAATCTCACACTCCCCCTGATGAGCTCTTTAGAATAAAGAGCTCACCTACACCCTGTAATCCAGTGTGGCCGGGTTCATTTCTTCTCACTCCTGAGGCCCTTTGTCCCCCTGTTGGGCGAACCATATGTGAGATGACCTCTGTGTTTGCGCAGTTCAGATGCAAGAAAAACTATTATTACAACAGTAGCCGGTACAGATGACACCTCCATCACTCCCCAGTTCTTCCACAGCTTTGTTTTGGTGCTACCTTATACCCTTCAGACGTACTCAGACTAGAACCTCTGTCCGAGAAGCTTTTAGCCTTTATTTTATTGCTGCAGCTACCAGTGTCTTCCAGTTGGGTGATCCTCTGCTCTTCTTTCTTCAACCTCAGGGTTTAGACAACCCTTTAGTCGTTGCACAGATCAGGGGATTATTCTGCCCCGATTTCTAACAACGATCTGTGTATCCTCGGGTCCTGTGTGTCCTGTGTATCCCCCAGAAAAAGGAACAGGAACGTGTCCCCCTTTTGCCTAAGAGCCTCTTGAACCTCGTTGGTCTGGTGTTCCTGGATTTCCGCCAACCCCTTCATGGTTATTGCTGTGTTTATGGGATCCATCCTTTGAGGTGACTAATCGGAGCCCAAACGCCATGACACTTGAACCCAGTTGGTGTCTTGGCAGTCACTGTGTCTGTCTCTGCTGCGAGGGATCCCCGTATATCTGTGACCTCGTCTGGTGTCTGTTCCTTTCTCTTTAAGAGACAGAAAACCAAAACACCTCTCTGCCTAGCTCCAGTCCATAGATCAGCCAAACATCGCGTTGACTGTAGCTTTTAACCCTTATTAACTTGAGCACAACTCTATAATGAGCAACAAACTGCAATATGTATAAAAATGATCATGGTTACACCTGCAATGAAAGATCATATGACCATTCTGACACCTGTAAATAGAAGATTAACCTGAGGTTATAACAATCACCGTAATACAAATGTTAATGTAATGTCAAAAGCTTCAATAAATGATCAATGCAATGCTTGTTATATGATTCTGATGCAATAATAATGCTGATGCTAAAATAACAGTAAAACACCCCCTTTTTATCCCGTTTATAAACTTGACACATAAACGTTTATAAATGCCTCTTTTACTTTTATTTCCCCCTGTTTTCCCCTCACTGACCACAGCAGGGGAATCTATGTTTTGATTCAGCCATGAATCCAGCTCACCTGATTCATCACTGAGCCCCACCGTCACTGGTGTCTGACAGGGTGGCGCTGCATATTCTTCCTTTAATGTCTCTATTTTCAATCTGTTAATTAGAGTGCTTAAACATGAAGTAGACTACGTCCACAACAAGTCAATACAGCTGTAAATGTGGCCAATTATCAATCTATTATCAATCAATAACAAAAAATAGATTTTATTTTATGCATGCTTTTAGTCAACCACTCACCCAGAGGATCTCCAATCCCAGAAAATTCCTTCTCCTCATTTAATGAGTCCGTCCTCCTTCCATGCCCTGGTAACTGGTCCATCCAGAGCAGGGCTCTCAAAATTTCAAAATCCCTGGTAGCCCTTCGGGCAGGGACTCTTCAGTTTTTGGTAGCCCAAAATAAATGTAAGTAGCCCGAATAAAAAAGAGAGCAATTTTTTTGATTGATGTTTTGTTTCCTGTTTTGTTTCCTTTACAATATTATACATTAAAGTATAATATTGTAAAGGAAACAAAACATTAATCAAAAAATTGTTGAAAAACAAATTACAACATTGTATAAAAATTACAATCATCAACTCAAATACTTGGTTCTAATTGAACAGAAATTTCTATGAACTTGTAAGAACTAGGGATGGGTATCGGTGTCGACATAAACGGTAGTAACCAGACCGAAAAGCAGCGCACATTTCGGTGCTTTATTTCGGTGCTTTTTTTTCCTGAGCTGTGATACACTTCTAGCCAATCATTTTACGTTTCCGAGGATAGTAGGCGGGGCCAGGTACGTACGTTCTGTTAGAGCAGAGCTACAGATTAAAAATGTCCAAGGCGAAGCGGTCAAAAGTCTGGCTGTACTTCACAGCAAAAGATGCAAACTCAGCAGCCTGCAACAAGTGCTTTAAGCTGATACTGTGCAAAGGAGGTAACACCTCAAATCTGATGAAACACCTGGCGACGCATAGCGTTTTTTTTAAAAGCCCAGAAATGCGCCGTATTTGATAGCTTGCTGCGAGACCTCACATCGAGCACATCTACTGCGGGTGGGTTGCCTGTTATGCAACATCCCCCAA